GGTTGGAACTGGATGAGCTTTAAGGTCCCTTCCAATCTAAACCATTCTATGATTCTTGGCAGATTATAAATCCAGATCTGTGTTACCACGATTCTTTGTCTGGTTTGAACTGAAAATTAATAAATTGTATAGTGGGCAGGTTTTTGGTATTTTTTTTTCCTTTTATTTTAATATCTGGAGTTGTGCTAAGCTCTGTTTTTTCTTTCTCAGTCAGATTCGGAGGAAGATGAACCAGCAAAGAAGAAAATTACTGTTCAGGTAAATACCTAGAATATTCAGTTAAAGACATTTCACAGGAAAGAAGCGTTTGACTGTGACAGGTCTTGGGCTTCCACCAACGAGCCCCTCTGATTAGCACGTGCCTTTTGATGTATAAAATTCCTAAAATCCCCTGGGGTGGCGAGTCCCCTTTTTTTTTTTTGAGGGGGCAATTTAATACATTTAAGTCTCAGGGAAAACAGGCATTAATTTGGGAAGTTGACAGATATTTACCAGTACCACGTTTCCCTTTAAAAGTCCCACTGGCCTTTTGTACAAGAAAGCCCTGCAGCGTGTTCAAAGCAGCAAACTGATTGTGCTGAGCAATGGGAAACCCATTAATGTCGTTAGAATTGGAGGAGATAATTGGCAGGGAGTCAGGAAAACTAAATAGTCTCTCACTCATTTCTTTTATTTCTCTGAATCATTTGCCTTGTATGAAATTCAACCAGGGATGCGGCGAGGGCTCTGGCTTATCCGCTTTGCTTCCTCAACCCAAAAATTTGACAGTGAAAGAGACCAATCGGTTACTTTTGCCCTACGCTTTCTCGAGGAAAGCGGGAGAAAACGCTTCCGACTCCAAGCCCAATAAAGCTCCAACCTCTTCAACCTCCAAAACAAAACCTCTGTCCAAGCCAGCTGTGCCCACAACTCCTTCTCCATCTGCTATCAAAGCCGCTGCGAAGAGCGCTGCCCTGCAGGTAACCAAGCAGATCACGCAGGAAGAAGATGACAGCGATGAAGAGGTCGAACCAGAGAACTACTTCTCCTTGTCTGACAGGAGCGAGCCCAGCGTCGCGGCTGCCGAGACGTACGTGTACTCTGGCACGGTGGTGGCAGAGGACCCACCTCCTGGGACAGAGACAGAACCCCAATTCCAAGACGCTGCTGCTAACGCCCCTCTGGAATTCAAGACGGCGGCGGGTTCCAGCGGTTCTCAGCACGGCTGGGCACCCAAACCCGGAGAAGATTACGGCAACGAGCCGTACAGCCAGTTCCCTGCCTACGGTGAGGCCGGTGCATATTATCAGGTGGGTTCACAGAATCACAGGATGTCAGGGATTGG